TCTCTCATTGCTCTTGTCGATTTGTTCATTTGATGCATCACGCTATTGTGATTTTTGTGTGTTATTATCATTGTTTTTCATTTTCCCTTTTTTTTCAATTCAATTTATGCTTTGATCTCATTTAGTTTTAAGTTTTAGTCAAAGTATTTTTCTAACATCTTGCTCCGAAACACTAGCTGTACCCGGCCACACGTTGCTGTGGCTCAGCAACGCCTGAAACACTAGCTGTACCCGGCCACACGTTGCTGTGGCTCAGCAACGCCCGAAACACTAGCTGTACCCGGCCACACGTTGCTGTGGCTCAGCAACGCCCGAAACACTAGCTGTACCCGGCCACACGTTGCTGTGGCTCAGCAACGCCCGAAACACTAACTGTACCCGGCCACACGTTGCTGTGGCTCAGCAACGCCCGAAACACTAGCTGTACCCGGCCACACGTTGCTGTGGCTCAGCAACGCCCGAAACACTAGCTGTACCCGGCCACACGTTGCTGTGGCTCAGCAACGCCCGAAACACTAGCTGTACCCGGCCACACGTTGCTGTGGCTCAGCAACGCCCGAAACACTAGCTGTACCCGGCCACACGTTGCTGTGGCTCAGCAACGCCCGAAACACTAGCTGTACCCGGCCACACGTTGCTGTGGCTCAGCAACGCCTGAAACACTAGCTGTACCCGGCCACACGTTGCTGTGGCTCAGCAACGCCCGAAACACTAGCTGTACCCGGCCACACGTTGCTGTGGCTCAGCAACGCCTGAAACACTAGCTGTACCCGGCCACACGTTGCTGTGGCTCAGGAACGCCTGAAACACTAGCTGTACCCGGCGACACGTTGCTGTGGCTCAGCAACGCCTGAACTGTGTCAAAATTTTGACACAGCGTTGCAATGTCAAAATTTCAAAGTAATCGGTGAAGAACTTTCGAAAACATTGAAATGTAATCGTTAAATATTTAGTATAGCGTGTGTTGCTTTTATGTCCAACAGATGGTGCTGTTTTATTTTAAAGAATGTTTTTACCTGTCACAGGTGTGACATCTATATAGTAGTAGGTATATAAAAACACGCGCGTATAACATGCACTGATCACAGAGATCCAGCATCTCTACTGGCCTCACCGGGCACTGAAAGGTCTTCCTCTAGCTCGTCCGGCCGAGCGGACAGCACGCTGGACTTATGATCCTGTAGTCCTGGGTTCGATCCCAGGCGCCGGCAAGAAACATTGGGCAAAGTTTCTTTCACCCTATGCCCCTGTTACCTAGCAGTAAAATAGGTACCTGGGTGTTAGTCAGCTGTCACGGGCTGCTTCCTGGGGGTGGAGGCCTGGTCGAGGACCGGGCCACGGGGACACTAAAGCCCCGAAATCATCTCAAGATAACGTCCTCCTAAAGTTCCCAACGTCAAGAAACGGTCGTACTAAAGTGCCCTAATCCTAACCTACCAGAGGACCCAAAACAGAAAACGGGACAGTACGTCACTTTCGCCAGCCGCTTCCATTTTCTAGAACAACAATTTTTGGCCTTAGGTGACACATACGTGCGAAATGCGACGTTCTTTGTAAGAGGACAGGTTGCTCCCCCACCACATCATTCCTGAGGACTTTTTCTAGCTGAATTTTGTAGAAGATTTACCAAAATCTTGGTACAATATCTCAAGATTTTTGTCTTGGGTTTTACGGCTTCGACAAGTTGGCGATTCTATGAGTTTGTAACCCTATCTTGAGGAGGCGGGGGGGGGGGGGGGGGGGGGGGGAGAATGTAATATTTTATGTTGAACAGTGTGGCTTGTTCAGCCTGGCGTTATTAGCCGTTGCCTGAGTTTTAATGTACCTTTTAAAAAGAGACTACTATAATAATAATAATAATAATAATAATAATAATAATAATAATGTTTAAAGAGGTAAAAGTACATATATATAAAATGCGTTACAAACAGAGTGTTGGATGTCTAGAGAGAGCGAGAACATACCATGCCTAGAGCCACTATAATACTCACAGCGTCTCAGGCGAACCACGTCACCATATTAGTCACATCACCAGCAGAGTCTGACTGGTACAGCGACTGGCTGGTATAACTGTGTCAAAATGTAAGTCTTTAATCGCAGGTTGGTGGAGGCTCCAAGAACCTCCACCAACCTTCAGACCTGTCATGGGAGGATTTTACTTCCATACACACCAACTGGAGTTATCTTGAGGTTATCTTGAGATGATTTCGGGGCTTTAGTGTCCCCGCGGCCCGGTCCTCGACCAGGCCTCCACCCCCAGGAAGCAGCCCGTGACAGCTGACTAACTCCCAGGTACCTATTTACTGCTAGGTAACAGGGGCATTTAGGGTGAAAGAAACTTTGCCCATTTGTTTCTGCCTCGTGCGGGAATCGAACCCGCGCCACAGAATTACGAGTCCTGCGCGCTATCCACCAGGCTACGAGGCCCCATATGACACCAGTGACACCAAGTCTACTAGAAATTGTTAGTTGTAAATATCTCGGGGACAAGAACATGTCTATTCAGCCTCAATTCATTATTCAGGGTTATTAACCCATGGAACCGCCTACCCGCCGAAGCCGTAAATATCATAACTGTTAACTTTTAGGGTTCAGCTGGGAAAGATTATTAAGATATAAACTCGGGCAATTCACCTAACGTGACACAGCTCAGGGGCGCCAGACGTGATCATTGATCACTGTCTCATCAGTTGTCAACGGATCAATTGTACAGGACTTTGTTAGTGATCATTTAGTCATCCACAGTTCTTACACCACAAAGGATGTCAAACCTTTAAAAAAAAAGTCTTTCAAAGGGATTAATGAATATCCCTTAAGATTTACACATGCACTGCAAACACTGAATTTCAGATTGCTATAACTCATACTGTTTACCAACCGTTAATGCATTATTAACCTGGTCACTGAAGCAGCATCTTTTTATGACAATGTTGTAAAATCCACGAGACCCAAGACAGTGAGGAAGGGACAGAGGTGGTTCACTGACTCATGCCTTAAGCCCCTGCATGACAGAGTTCTCATCTGAGCTGAGCAGTATAAAACACACAAAACAGGTGACACCCTCAACATATTTCTTAAGGCCAGCCGAGAGTTTAGACAGCTAAACAGGTGATGTAACCAGAACAGGTGTATAACCTGCACTAGCAACACTTTTTGCAAGGCATCAATCATGCAACATCCTCATCCCAAATGTTTAATAGAATCTAAAGGATTTCTCATCCTAGCAGTCGTGCGCTTCAAGCAATTGGAATCTCCAGCAAGAACCTCACACTAGCACTTATAAATGACACGATCGCTGCACGAAATAAAAGGTTTAGAATCTCTTTTGTATGGATACCATTTCACATAAATATAACCCATCATAAAGAGACAGACATTGCAATTGAATTAACGTGTAACGAGGATGAAGTTGAATTAGACTTCGGTATGCCCATCTCTGTTGTCAAGACTATATTGTGCCAAACACTCAGGTCTGATAGGAGAGAAATTAATGACTCCCAAAGGTCTGAAAGCAACAGTGTAAAACATCTATGGTTTGTTTAGGTCTGAAACTTATGTATATGGGCAGCAGAGAACGTCCACCAGACTGTTCGACACATTGGGTACAAGGATCACTGTACTCTTGTGCCTCCAGAGCTCTCCTGTACTCGGTCAGAGGCACTCTGGTGAGTACAGGCAGAGCTGTGTAGTGTACAAGGTTGACTGCTGCCCATCGAGGACGACTCGTGTGAGAGCTGTCAAGCCACCGGAGACGGCTCCAATAACCCACCTGGTGTTGTTGACAACCTGTCAAGCCACCGGAGACGGCTCCCATAACCCAGCTGGTGTTGTTGACAACCTGTCAAGCCACCGGAGACGGCTCTCATAACCCACCTGGTGTTTGTTGACAACCTGTCAAGCCACCGGAGACGGCTCCCATAACCCACCTGGTGTTGTTGACAACCTGTCAAGCCACCGGAGACGGCTCCCATAACCCACCTGGTGTTGTTGACAACCTGTCAAGCCACTACGGAGCAGTCCATGCGTCATCAAACATTTACACAACCACTTTACGGAACCCGTACATCTTTTATTCATCATGGCGGCTTTGTTTACATGTATTAAACAGTTTACGAGCTTGTAAACTTCACAACCCGAGGTTATTATTGTTATAAACAACCTCATAGTGCTCTAAATGTATATACAAAACCGCTAAGACTGAGGAAAGATGTATATATTTCGTAGGTATATGTTTTGATGACTCCAGTAATATGTATATGCATTTGTGTACATGGGTGTATATATATATATATATATATATATATATATATATATATATATATATATATATATATATATATATATTTATATATATATTTTAGTATATTTTGGTAGCAGTCTTTCCTGTAGACATATATTATTAAATATTACCGAAAAAGTAAGATTGATAATTCTAACACGAATTTTCTCAATCTTTCGTACATTTCTTTTCACTGTTGGAGGTAATTCAAAAATCAATTCTCCAAAATTCATTTTTATTTCTAGTCTGAAATAGATTTTATTTCTTTATTTCTAGACTAGAAATAAAAATGAATTTTGGAGAATTGATTTTTGAATTACCTCCAACAGTGAAAAGAAATGTACGAAAGATTGAGAAAATTCGTGTTAGAATTATTAATCTTACTTTTTCGTTCATATTTAATAATATATATATATATATATATATATATATATATATATATATATATATATATATATATATATATATATATATATATATATATATATATATATACACATATGTACATGTGTATGTAACAGTAACAACTGTGTAATTAGCGTGACAAGACTGTCACTTGCTTAGCTGAACGAACTCTGGGGTTCAGTTCCTGAACCCATTATGTGCCTCTGTAACCCTTTCCACCCCCGCCCACGGGATCGGTATGGGGTGCATAATAAAGAAATGAAAATGGTCGCCAAGACGTGAGGGGTAACTGAGACAATCATGTTGTGTGCCTTACCCTGGTCGTGGAGGCTTAGCGTCGTCGGGGCGGACCTTGAAGTGCCTGGTGAACCACACGCCCCCGGCGCCTCTCTCTCGCTCGGACGCTGTCATCCTGTACAGGACATAACATGGGCTATTAAATGAACAAATCACGCGATTGTGATTTCTGTATGTACATGGGCTATTAGTTTACAAATTGGTCTAGTTTACAAATTAGTCAGTTTGGCTTCCGCTCCCAAAAGAGTACCAACGATGCAATTATTAGTCTGCTTGATATAATCTACACAGCCCTTGAAATGAGTTCCTAGTTGAACTCTTCATTGACCTGAAAAAGGACTTTGATACTGCTAGCCATAACTGCATCTTACTTAAACTCCGCCATTATGGAATCCGAGGCCTTGCCCTGAACTATTTCCGATCCTATCTTAGTGACAGACACCAATGTGTAGCCATCAGTGTTATAACCTCTCCCACTCTACCATTAACCGTAGGGGTGCCACAGGGCAGCATCCTAGGACCTCTCCTATCTCTTATATACATCAATGTATATATATATAGAGCCTAATGTCTCTAACATTCTTAAACCTATATTATTTGCTGATGATACTATCTACATCTACTCAGACCCCAACCCACATACACAAAATAATGTAAATTATAAATTAAAAAAGTCCACTCACTGGTGTCAGCCAACAAACTCACACTAAACATAGAAAAAAAACTATATTTCATTTGGAAGCACATCAAGAAATGCAATTCAGCTTCAGATAGACAATATTAACATCAGCAATAAAAATTATGGAAAGTTCCTTAGCCTATACTTAGACAAGAGACTTAACTTATACTTACTTAATTGAGTTTATGAGAGTACATAGCATTGCTGTTTTTACACTCTTGCAAAGCCACTAACATGCATAACGTTTTAAGCAGCTCCTTAATCTAACAGATAATTTTAAGTAGGTAATTTGTAGCAAAATTTGAAGAATATTAACAGGTACATTGTAACAAAAATTTGAAGAAAGTTAATAGGTAGATTGTAGTAAAACTCGAGGAGTATCAACAGGTACATTATAACATAATATGAGGATTATTAATAGGTACATTGTAGCAAAATCTGCGTTCAGCAAGACATTTATGATATTAGTTGATAGCAGTGATTACAATAGTGAAGGTTATTATTAATGTTAACATTGTCTATCTGAAGGTGAAAGAATGCTAACTTTTATCAACTTTATTTAGCTATATTTTGTATGTGGCCCCTAGAAATTATGTTTGTTATCTATAAGGACACCAAGGAATTTACCATGTACTTTGTTACTAATTTTAAGATATTGTTAATTCTTAGATATTTTGATCAGGTGATTTACTACAAAAAATATAAAACGTTTTAACACTGTTAAGGGTGAGTTTGTTAACAATTAGCCAAAGACAGACTTTATTTAGTTCAGTATTCACAGTATCATTGAGAGTAAGAGGGTTAGGATTGGAGAAAATGAAGTTTGTGTCATCAGCAAATAAACTTGGCATGACATGTAGAGAGGCATTTGGAAGGTCGTTAATGTAGATTAGAAAGAGGTAAGGGCCAAGTATACTACCCTGTGGAACATGGGTAGGGTGGGAGAATTAGCATTATTCACAGAAACACTGCATGCAGCCTGTCACTGAGGTATGATTGAAGGTATTGGAGGGAGTGACCTCTGACCCCATAATGATGTAATTTAAGAAGAAGGTTTTAGTGGTTAACAGTCTCAAAAGTCTTACGTAGGTCAACAACTAACCCAACAGGGAACTCATTTTTATCAAGAGCTGCATGTATCAAGTTAATCACACTAATCAGTGCATCACTGGCGTTTTTTGGGGGGTCTGAAGCCATATTGGCAACAGCTAAGTATATTGTGTCTTGCTAGATAAGAGTAAAGGTGCGTGTAGATTAACTTTTAAAATATTTTAGACAAGGTTGGCAGGATTGATACTGGTCTGAAATTATTGACTTCAGTGAGTTCATAGTTCCTATGCTGCTAATGTTCATAGTTCCTCTGTGGCAGATCTCCAGTTATTACGTATCACCAGGCACCAACCCTTCCTCACGTACCATAGTATGTACCATAGTACCCGTCCCATAGTACCCGTCCCATAGCACCCGTCCCATAGTACCCGTCCCATAGCACCCATCCCATCGCTGTAGACAGCAGAATAGTTGTGATTGCTCAATTTAATGTTGTTGATTTAGGGGGCGACGACGATCGTGGGTCTAATTTTAATGATAATTGTATTTTCCAGTCCCACTTCTGATGTGAAATTTTCGTACTATTTTCCATGCTATTCGAAAATTATGGATCAGCTACATACTATTGAAAGCTCGTAGTTTTGTTTTGTGAAATCTTGGTAGTTCTCAGTAAATTATAATAAGCACCATAAATTATTACATATAATTATTAAATAATATAAAATTCACAGTCTTCGTGGCGAAGTGGTAACACTCGTCTGCCATTTTGCGAGAGCTTTGACCTGGGTTCGTATCCTTGCCGGGGAGGATTGACTGGGCGTCAATCCTTAACAATCCAATCCTTGTTCACCCAGCAGTGATTGGGTACCTGGTTGTTAAACGATTTGGCGGGTCGTATTCCGGGGAAAATTAGGATTATGGAATTTCCCCAAACGCTATGCGTGCTAGTGGCTGTACAAGAATGTAAGGACTCTTATATATATTGTGACGGGAATGTGTATTAGAGCAGTGGCTATTCTGGCTGGTGTTGTGCCAACCACACATTAATAAAATAGTCTCCGGGGTGTAGTGGTAAGACACTCGCCTGGCGTTCCGCGAGCGCTATGTCATGGGTTCGTATCCTGGCCTGGCGTTCCGCGAGCGCTATGTCATGGGTTCATATCCTGGCCGGGGAGGATTTACTGGGCGCAATTCCTTAACTGTAGCCTCTGTTTAATGCAACAGTAAAATGTGTACTTGGATGAAAAAACGATTCTTCGCGGCAGGGGATCGTATTCCAGGGACCTGCCCGAAACGCTACGCGTACTAGTGGCTGTACATGAATGTAACAACTCTTGTATATATCTCATTCTCTTTGATTTATAAAAAAAAAAAAAAAAAAAAAAAAAATGGGGCATACGTCTGTCTGAACACCCAATACATTTTGAGCACGTATTGTTGTTGTTAATTCCTTATGTTGGAGCATCAAGATACGTTGGTGAATAGGCGGTATAGGGAACAGGCAGGATCTACTGCCTAAGCAGGAGATTACCGTAACAATATATAAATACAAAAATAAATTATGGTGCATTCGCCATATTACCATTATATACAATAGTATGTGCTTTGAAAATCTAAAGAGAGTGGATTCTAGGACCGTCTACAGAAAACGATGTTAGGGGGTAATGTCTATGGGGTACACTACTGCAAAAAGAGTAGATATAGAGTCCACAACAAGTCACACGATGTTTATGGGGTCTACTACCACCTATTGGATGAGTATGGGGTCAACTACTGCCTACAGGATGGGTATGGGGTCCACTACTGCCCACAGGATGGGTATGGGGTCCACTACTGCCCACAGGATGGGTATGGGGTCCACTACTGCCCACAGGATGGGTAAGGAGGTCCACTACCACCACCTGGAAGGGATCTCGGGGCTCACTACTATCGACTGGATGGGTATGGGGCTCAATACCACCCACAGGAATGATATGGGTTCCACTACTGCCCACAGGATGGGTATGGTGTTTACTATCACCCACTGGATGGATATGAGGGTCCATTACCGCCAACTGGATGAATATGGGGCTCACTACCATCCACAGAAACGATATGGTGTCCACTACTGCCCACGGGATGTGTATGAGGTCCACAACAACGTGTCAAATATGTAGCAGGATAGGTATTAGGCGTATTTATTTCGTGTTTATACACTCAAAATTTTAACAAAATAACAAGGAGAAGCATATACTACACATCCAAGTTTAAAATATTTATATAAAAATTTTTAGTTTTATTAAAAAATTCAACATTTTATACAAAGTTAAAAAATATTTTAAATTACTTTAAAAAATCTTGAAATTTTTTATTTTATTTTATAAATTGTATAAAATTATTGTATCAAAATAGCTATAAGTTAAGTACAAGTTGAAAATAAGAAGCAATAAATGCTATTTACTTGCTCCTTCTTCCACTCTCTCACGATCATTTGTGGTCGTGGTTTTCTATTCAACTTTTCAGGGGCAGCTCTAATATTCCCAATATTTTGTGTTTTCATTCTTTGTTTTAATAATAATAATAATAATAATTTTTATTTAGGTAAAGGTACATACATAAAGAGATTTTACAAAGTTTGTTGGCTTTATAGATAGAGCTAGTACATACAATGCCTAAAGCCACTATTACGCAAAGCGTTTCGGGCAGTATGAGTGGTCCACTACTATAGTACTACTATAGTATAACATAGTACCTATGTAACTATATGCTTATAGTTCCTATGCTACTATAATGTTCATAGTTCTTCTGTGGTAGATTTCAAGTTATTGCCTATCACCATAGGTACCAACCCTTCCACGTATACCATAGTATGGCCCATAGTACCCGTCCCATCGCTGTATACAGTAGTAGTCAGAAATGAGACAAAAAAGATATTAATTTTCAGAAACGATTGGGCAGTGTTGTGCCGACTAGACCTCCGGGGACGGAATAGTGATTTTTTTTTTGTGGGGTTATAATTTATGCTCACCTAATTGTACTTTTTTTTGTTTATTAAATTAAATTATTTTTTTTTATTCAGGAAAAGTACATACATAGATGATGAGTTACAAACATAATGTAACACATTGAAGACATTGGACGAAAATTATGCCATTATTTTTTTAGAATTCAAGATACTTCTCTCTGTTGCATCAGTCATTTCGTGTGGGTGCAGGGTCCAAACATATTAACTTAACACTTGTAAATATTAGTAGTAAATATAAGTTTTGTATTTAATTTTTAAAAGTTTAATATTCTATAGAATCTGTGTATGTTCTGTATTAAACTGTATTTATGGCATAAAGGTAGATCACAGATATTGTGGTGGGGTCCCAATAACTATGTAAAAAACTACTGTTGCTATGGTA